CAGAAATAAACAGAATTATAACTCTCTGGATCAAAGGTACATCACGGATGCTCCCCAGATACTCTACCTTCCAGCAATCCACAGAACTAGCAGGGCTTCAAGCTCCAGTTATCAAAGACATGCTAGATGCCCGCTTAATCACAGTTTGGATGAGACTTCTCACATCCAACTCTATGTGGGCAACATATGAAAGAAATAGAATTCACTATATACTTGGTGAGAAAAGGAATATCTCTCCTACTCAGGCTCTAAACTCTGGCAATACAAGCACAAAAGCTTGGCCCACAGAATGGAAACCATATCTAAAGGCCTGGACAAGAATTAAAGGCAGGGTCCCCCCTACCTCCAACTGGCCGTGGAATAGTAATGAACTAAGAATTGGAGAAATCAAAGGAGACGAACTTTCAGTCAAAAAAATTTTAGAACTATTAAAAGAATCTTCTCTTTCACCAGCTACTCTACAAACTTCTCCGCAGGCACCACAACACATATGGCTCTCGCTGAAGTCGATTTGTAACAAGAAAAAAGATATTTTCTGGCGTCTTTTTCACAGAGCGCTCCCACTAGGATATCGATTAAAACACGTTGGTCCATCAGAGACAGGGAACTGTATCTGGTGCCTGGACGAACTACAAACTATTGAGCACTTCGCTTTAGAATGCCCTAGAAGTATAATAATCTGGAAAAAAGCGTACAGTTTCCTTAACGTCGATGAGGAAATAGTAATACCATCCTCGCTAGAGGACATCTTTCAAGCTACTAATAACACTTGTCCTCAAGCTCGAATAGCTTTGACCTGGCTACATATTATTACAGTCTATGAGATATGGTGTCAATACACCTCGGCAAAATGGGGAAGTTCAGATACACCTCTTAACTCTCTAAGCTCCTTTGTTAGAAATCGTATTTCAAAAGAAATACGAATTCTAAAAAACAACCCCTTTAGCACTAGATCTAAATCTTTCAAACTAATATGTAAATATCTAAAAAGTAACTAAGCCTTTTATAATATTTTAATAAAAGAGCGCCACCTGCACCCCTAGTTGTGATTACAACAGGGATACTCAAAAAAAAAAAAAATTTTTCTTCAACCTTGAGCGATGATATCTCAACACCTATCAAGCCAAATTCGATGAATTTTTTTTTTTATTTGAATTCTACAGCTTTGTAGAATTCAAATAAAAAAAAATTCATCGAATTTGGCTTGATAGGTGTTGAAATATCATCGCTCAAAGTTGAAGATAAATTTGATCTACAGGGGGGGGGTATAAATAATAGCCGCCTAAATAAAAAGGATTAAAACAAAACTAGTTTTTTTAAAGAAATCGCAAATAACTCAAAATTTTGCTTATGAAACTATCCTTCGCGTTCTAACAAAAAAAATTACTTGCAAAATTTTGGTATAAACTATGCTCTGCTCTGACCTTAATCTCGGGCTAACTCTGACTCTAACTTCAAAGAAAAAATATTGTTTTGATTCTCTACAAAAATTTATCTGTAACCTCTGGTTACAAATATATTAATCCAAATAAAAATTGCCTTTTGTTTATGCTTCGTAAATCACATGCTGTGAACATTGGTTATTTTCTTAAAGTTTATCATAAATTTATAAATTTTTATTATAATTTATCACTGGGTGTAACATCTTCCCTGACTGTTATTGTTTCTCCATTTCTTCAATTTTCTCTAAAATTTTAGATCTCCAAACAATATAATCGTTATATAATGGTGTCTCTTTAAAATTCACAATTTTCTATTAATAACGAAACGCGTCATTAATATGCGATCATTAAAGTATCTACTAATTACCCATTCACATACCATCGTTCCATTTCCTGCCCGGTCTCCTAAAGAAGATTCTTCTTTTGGGTTACCATCATTATCATCATCATCATCATCATCATAGTCTTGTCGCGTTCTTTTCTTAATGCTTCCTTCACTAATATCATTTACATAATTATTCCCCTTCACTGGAGATATCATAAATGTCGCGAGACCCTCATTTTTAATTTGAGACTTAAGTTCGTTAATATAAGATTTACAATATTTCTCAATGAGTCGCGTCATATTTTGAAATGCAGGACGCGATACGGAAATATCAGGCGAATTTATTAATTGTTGGTTGATTCGACTTTGTGCCTTAAATAAGTTTAATTCAATGAACGCATGAAATGTAAAAAACGTATACACAAATGTTTTAATTGAGACTTACCCCGAAAACTTTACCACAACACCCAAATACTGCTATTTTATAAATGTCATCATTCCAATCAATTTCTCTAATATTCGCTGCACTTAGATCCTTAACCCACTCCTCTTTGAAAATTTCAAACATTGTTTCAACGTAAGGAATAATTTTGGGGCATCCAAATCTCGCAGCCAGTGAGTCAAAACTTATCGAAGAAGGAATTTCCAATATTTTTTTGATGTAAGAGAGTGAAGAATGATAATTCTGTTCGGTAGTGTTTGCTAATTTCAACAGTTTTTTTCGGTCGAATTGAATATGAAGTCTGAATAGATATTTAAATAAAGGTAAGCAATAATTTAAAAACAAGCTTGAAATTGATATGCATAAGGGCATTACAGTTCGCAGGCAATATGAACTGCGTAGATAGGTTTGCATGTTGTCCAATCTTTAAAACCAGGTGCACTTCCAATTTTCACGTCCATTTGGCTCGAAATTTCGGTTGCCTTTGACTTAATACGCTTCTCATCTTTTGACAAGTCAAGTGATTGAATTAAATTATTAAAAACAATTCCATTACGCGAGGAAAACATTTTGGTCCTAGACGAAAGTTATACGTATGTATTCGAACGCGTTTACTCCCGATAATATTTGTTATTACAGGGGTGATTACCGTATTTTGTACTAGGGTCTCTTGCCATAAATAGGGGATGGCTAAAGCCATGTACCCACGTGATTTTGACGTTTTAATCAACTACCCCAGTACAGTCAGGGGATATACCAAATTAGGGGGACGTCTAAAGCCGTGTCCAGTCACGTGTTTTTTGTTTTTAATTAAAGTTAGGGTAAGGGTTAGTTTGGGGTTAGGGTCAGACATTTTTTATTAATGCACCAAGATGGGTTTAGACTATCGTTTCTTGTATTTTTTGCGATTTTCACTTTTTTTCGCTGTTTTTTGTCTCTTCGGGCTGATCCGTGTCGATCAAAATAAACAATTCTATTGGCTTCAGGTCACGTGATGGACACGGCTTTAGACGACCCCCAAATTAGGCATATCTACTAAATTCGTGCTAGTTTTAGTACAGTAAATAAATTATAATACTACAACATTCATAAATTTTTTATCGGCGACACTAGGAAAGATTGAGCACACTAATTATCACGTGTTTGTTTAACACCAAAACAAGAAAACGAACAGAATTATTTTTACAATGACGCCGATTCTATTTATTATACTTTATTGCTTGACCATTTACAGCATTACCAATTTTTTTAAAAGATGCCTTGAGAAAATCCTTTAGCAAAAAATTGTACATTATTATCTAATATCTTATAATGTAGAGTGGTAGGTCTAAACCATCTTTCAAAATTTTTCGGGCCACGAGCGATAGTTATCTTGATAAATAATGACATTCATGATATAATTAAGGGTGAACGTGTCAGTTCTTATATAATTACCAGATCAGTCGCAACTTACCTCACCAGATACATCTCTACTAAATCCAGACTCTAAACCACGCACTGAAAGTATATATTCAGATTTATATATCAAAGACTTTATGAAAATTTCATCATCAAAGTCAATGTTGTCGATGCTCAATGATTCTGCTACTTCATCAGCGTGAATTAGAGAAATTAGTGTTCCATCATGCTTTAAAAGAAAGGTGTATATATAATTCAGTAAAGATTTCATGAGATAGAAAGTTGGAATTATTCAAACACATCAGATTGAATTGCAATGGTGAAGACAAATTACCTTTTCTATTAATACACGACAAGCTCCCCAGAATTCTAAAACATCACATACTTTAAATCCAGAATAAATCAACACACTCAAATCATCAAATATTAATAAAACATTTGAATCAGCTGATGAGTGATGCGTCGTTATAATTGTTTTTATGGTATTATAAAAATTTAATAAAGTTTCCTTGGTACAATTGGTTACTGATAAAGGAGTTAGCACTGCAGTCGGCAATGGTGATGCAGCTGTGACTGTGGGTGAATTTGGCGTTAAGGAAGTTAGTCCGTCTATAAATGAAAAATGTCCTTTTTGAGAGGCAGAAGTTAGATTCACACCCTTATCGCGATCGAAATAAAAATAACGGTATCAATTAAATGTGACAATTTCAAAAGCAACGCATAACGCAGCAACATTCGTCGCCTTACCAATTTCTTTCCAATATTTAAATAATGGTTAAAAAGTTGTGATAAGCCAACCAAAACAACGTGTTTATCAGCTTTGAGCTGGTTTACAATAAAGTGGTGAATTAAAAAGTTTCCCTGCGCTGATAATGTATCAGTTATTAGAATAGAACTTTTTAATGGAACGAGGTTGTTTTTGAACGATAAGGCTATATCTAAAGTTTGATATCCCATTATGGTTTCTGAAATAAACTATGTTAATTGGATAATCTAATTTTATAAACAATTTCCAGCCAATGGAAACCCGACATTTCTGTATTTCTACATCCAACTAAAATCCTAAAATCAATCATCTTAAAAAAAATGTCTCGACCGGAACACCAAGCACCACCAGAAATTGTAAATATATAATTACTTTTTATTAATTTATCAATTGAATCACGACAATTGTATCAATAAAATTAAATTTCTGATTACTTTTATGAGCAATAGTATTACAACGACGATGAAGCAAAGAAATATACCTCAAAGTAATTAATTCATATTAGCGCTATTTCAATTAAATCTTTAATAACATATTTTTATTGCTTAGTACTCGAATACAAAGTGTTCAAGCAGAGCTGGTACTTATGAAATAACTTTGATCATACCAAATACCTTCAGACCCATTAAATTATTATATTAATAACAGACATATAGAGCTCTTGAATTATTAAATTTACCTGAAGATGAACCAGCTTATTTGCTTGATATTGGATGCGGATCAGGTTTAAGTGGTGAAATTTTAGATGAAGAAGGTCATATGTGGGTAGGAATGGATATTTCCCCTGCTATGTTACGTGAGTCAAATAATACGAAATTAACATGCTTCAATATAAATGCTGCATATAAATTTAATATTTATATATATATATTTTTTTTGCATTGGAGCAGAGATTGCATTAGATCGTGAGGTTGAAGGTGATTTGTTCTTACAAGATGTTGGTCACGGAATGGGATTTCGTCCTGGTACATTTGACGGTGCTATAAGGTAATTAATTACCATAGCATCACTTCGAATAATATTCTTCAGTAATCTAATAATCACGTATAGTATTTCAGTCCTACAATGGCTATGTAACGCAGATCATAGTTCACACAATCCTAAATCTCGTCTCACACGATTTTTCTCAACTCTTTATTCGTCACTACGCCGGGGTGCTAAAGCAGTATTTCAATTTTATCCAGAAAATGATGATCAATGTGAATTATTAATGAATACAGCAATGAGATGTGGCTTTGAAGGTGGTCTGGTAATTGATTATCCCAACAGTAAAAAAGCGAAAAAGTATTTTCTTTGTTTATTTGCCGGACAAATTCCTACAGAAGATGGTAAACCAAAAATGCCAAAGGCTTTGGGAGAAGATGGAGAGGATGAACCAAATGTTGTAGCTTATTCGAGTCAGAGGTTACTTTTCTTTTTTAAATTAATGGATGTAAGAGTTAAATTTTATTACTTTCAACTAACAATTTTAACAAATAATTTTTTTATTAAAGAACTCAAGAGCGTCAAAAAACGAAAGGGAAACAACGCAAATCGATTAAAGAAAAGGATTGGGTTTTGCATAAAAAAGAAATTGCGCGTATGAGAGGAAAAAAAAATATACCGTTGGATTCAAAATACACAGCACGAAAAAGGAAACCAAAATTTTAGAGAATCTAGAATGTGGAAAAAAATTAATTATTTAATATATTATGAGAGTTTTGAATGTTGTAAAGGTTATATAATAATAATAATAAATATACTTATCATAAAGCTTCCACTATTAATTTCAATTTAATATTTATTTACAAATATTCATTCATTTTTTTCATCATCTGATTCAATGCATTCATCATTTCCATCATTATCATCCTCCTGAGTTTTTTGTTTTTTATCACCGGATTGCTTTTTTTTTTGTTTTTTCTTTTGCCTTTTTGTCCGCCTTTTGGCAGTTTTTTCGTCTTCTTTTGCTTTAATTGCTTTCATTTTTTCTTCGAATTCGCGTTTCTCTTCTTCCTAAATGAAATTTGGTACATTATTATTTTTCTAAAAATTTCAATTAATGATAGTTATATAAGGCCATACAAACTTAATAAATTGGTTCTCATAACATAAAATTTTTAAAAGTGACTGGCACTCCCGGTTTTTAATTTTATTTTCAAAAAATTTTATATATAAAAACATAAAATTTTTTAGAAAAACTCACCCGGATAGTAAATATACTTAAAAATTTTTTTGAAAGTTTTGTAAAATTTGACCCGACCGATTATGAGAACCAATTTATTAAGCTTGTATAGCCTAATGCTGTATATAAATGGAACCTTTCTAGCTTCTTCTTCCATGATTTTTAATCTTGTGTATTCTCTTCGGCGATGAGCTCGGTAAACATGGAATTCTCCGCTTCCTGCACCCGCACTAGAACCTATTTTTTAAAATAAAATTTGCCTCTCAATTCTTCAATAATCCTTTAATTTTTTATAAAGGTTACCTTGAACATTTCTAACAATATCTTTTGGGGCTTTTAATTTTGGTTTTTCAATCTCCGGTATAGTTACTGGTTTATCGGCTCTTTGCAATAACTTTTCTAGTTGTTGCCTTTGAATGTCCACGGGCTTTAGGTTATGTTTAGGTGTATGCTTATTTTTAGTAAGTTCACTACCGTTAAAATCGTTAGAATCGGTTAATTCACTAGGATTCTTGTCTTGATCTTTGGAAGCCATGTTTTAAGAAAGTATATACAGTACTATCAGAATTATAAAAGTTGAGCACGTTTTTTTCCACATGATTACATGATTATCTGTTTAATTAGAGTTTAAAACATAAACAAATCATAAATTGCATATTACCGAGTTCATTTAGTCGAGTAACACGGTGTCACTGAATTTTCAAAAAACTTAGTCAGGTTTCTAATACATTTTGAACACAAGTATATTCTAAGGATCGCTTTCTCAAATTGGCATACACATCTGAATTAGAAAAATGGATTATGATATGCAGGGTACTCAAAACTATGGCCCAGGACCACAAGGCTCCGGTTTTGGTGGCAATGGTGGTGGTAATGGACAAGAGTACGTGGTTTTCGATAGGTCCACTGAGGGGTTTTCTAAAGGCACTTTGGATAGATCTACTGCAGCAAAATTGAAATTAGAACACTTTTATAAAGTTACTTTGGATCAGGCAAGAGAACGAAACGACCGGTATGTAATCACTACCAGCTAACAACGGTTGTTCTTGCGGATTCGGAATTTATATCGAGATTATAGTATAAGTGTTCAATCCTTTTAGTGTCCGTCCTAGCGCTTACAGCATAGATCTTTGATGTAACAATTAACTATTTTATAGACGTAATGAACTTGAAAAAAAGCTTGAAAAAGAGGACTGTTCGGAAGAACGAAAGAACAGACAACTTCAGTCACTTGGACGTAAAGAATCGAATTTTTTAAGACTTAAAAGAACAAGGCTGGGGTTAGAAGATTTTGATACAGTCAAAGTGATCGGTAAAGGCGCGTTTGGTGAGGTGTGCTTTTCTTAATATTATTCGTTAAATTAATAATAGGCGAATTTGTATACTATTGATTCATTATATGCTTTTGCATTCATGGAAATTGAATTCAGGTTAGACTCGTTCAAAAAACTGATACTGGGAAAATATATGCTATGAAGACGTTAAGAAAAGCAGATATGTTTAAAAAAGATCAGGTGATTTATCCTGATTTATCCGAATTTTGATTTACTGGTCCAAAAATTCGGCAGAATAAAGTTATTGAGTTCTTATATAATGTAGTTGGCCCATGTCAGAGCCGAACGTGATGTTCTTGCCGAATCGGATTCTCCATGGGTGGTTCAATTATATTATTCTTTCCAAGATGCATCATATCTTTATCTTATTATGGAATTTCTACCCGGGGGTGACTTGATGACCATGTTAATTAAATACGACACTTTTTCGGAGGATGTAACAAGATTTTATATTGCTGAATGTGTCCTGGCCATTGAGGCAATCCATAAATTAAATTTCATTCATCGGTAATTTTTTTTTTTTTTGTTTTATACGCTGAAATTCATAATGAAACTGTGATATATATAATTGCAAATTCATTTTAAATTCAGAGATATTAAGCCTGATAATATTTTGATTGATAAAGATGGTCACATTAAATTATCTGACTTTGGTCTTTCTACGGGTTTTCACCGAACACACGACTCTCAATACTATCAACGACTTTTGGATGGAAATCTCAATAGTGCTGGTCATAGACAATTAGGCAGTGAAGCTAATATTAACTTAACATTGTCAAGTAAAGACAGAATCGCTACATGGAAAAAAAATCGAAGAGCATTGGTATTATTTATTCACTTTCTTATTTCTATTGATTTCTTTTTCTCTACATTAAAGTCTGAATAAATCGATTTTGTTAGGCTTATTCTACTGTAGGTACTCCTGACTATATTGCACCCGAAATTTTCCTACAGCAGGGCTATGGTCAAGAATGTGATTGGTGGTCACTCGGTGCTATTATGTTTGAATGTCTGGTTGGTTATCCTCCGTTCTGTAGTGAAAGCGCCCATGAAACTTACCGAAAAATTATTAACTGGCGAGATCAATTATATTTTCCTGATGATGTTCATTTGAGCCCTGAGGCTGAGGATTTAATTCGGCGGTACATCAGATTTTTTTTTTACGTACATGAGAGAACTTATTATTTCCATATATTCACAAAATGACTCTATCGCACATAGTCTTATCTGTGCGCCTGAACAACGTCTAGGTCAACGTGGTGCCGATGAAATTAAATCACATCCATTTTTTGCTGGAGTAGATTGGGAGACTATTCGTAATATTGAGGCACCATTCGTTCCTAATCTGAAATCAATCACTGATACTAGCTACTTCCCTACAGAAGATCTGGAAAAGATTCCTGACACACCTCAGACAACTGGTACGCCATAATATCAATTATGATATCATGTTATACGTATTAATATGTTATAATAATTTGTTATTGCTTTGTACAGAACGCACCTCAAGTGCTACTGGTGAATTTAATCAAAAGGACTTAGCTTTCGTCGGTTATACATTTAAAAGATTTGACGATTTAACAAGAAAGAATGCTTTGTAAATAGGGTTGCGACCCAAACCTTTTTTTGAATTATGACATTACTACATAGTTTGGGTTTGGAAATCGGGATTTCTACTTCAATTGGGATAATAACCAAAATCTAATTATACGTCCATTCTTAGTCAATAGAGTAAAATTTAAAAACAATAAAATTTGTTAAATCAATACTATAAATTATTAAAACTTTATTTTATTTAGCGACTAAGCGGGATCTATTAATAAAGTGATATTGTTAAAGTAGGTCTAACGGTTATATCGAATTTGTGCACAATAAATGAAAAACAATTATAAAATGAATGTTTTTTAAATCCAAATAAAATTCGAATCATAAATAATAAACCTTTTAACCACGCTTGCTTTTTTTGAAATTGAATAGAAAATTCCTAATAGTTCTTAAAAAAATCGAAACCTTTTAATAAAAATCGATTACTTATATAGGCTTACATTGTTAGTTGACTCTCGATAAATGAATTACCCGTGGCTTGAGATACGTATATGGGCGCTTTTCAATAGAATAGGGGAAAAAGTTTTTAGTAATTTTTTTTAAATTTTAAATTAAAATATCTTAATAACTACTAAATTAAATCTAATAAAAATTTATTTTTTTAATTTTATAATTTTATAGAATTAAAATAAAAAAAAAATTATTAAATTTAGGTTAATAGTTGTTGAGATATTTTAATTGAAAGTTTAAAAAACTTTTACTCCCCCCTTTCTATTGAAAAGCCCCCATATGAAAGCAGTCAGTCCCATTAATGTTAAATACAAAAGGATTCATGATCTTATATGAATGCTGTTAAGGAAAATGTGATTTTGAGCCTTCAAGTGTTATTATTTACCAGATCTAACCTCTGAAAAACTGATCAGTGGCATATATGATAACGATAGTAATTACTCATAACGATAATACATGTCGCCGTCAGGCTGAATCTGGTAAATGATAAATTTGAAAGTCTTAATTTTCCCTTGGCAGCACTCACATTCAATTTTATTAATATTACATCTTATCGAATATGAGAGAGACTAAATCATTTAATCCAGTACAAAGCAAAGTTTTCACGAACAAGAGCTCTTCTGATAAAGAAATCGAAACAATTGAAAATAATACTTACCTAAGCCCTTACCGGCGAAACGCATCAATTTTTTAGCGAATAAACTATAACTGGTTATATACCTAGTTATATTCAAGTCACTAACTAGTAAGGATCAAAATACATAAAGCAACAACTATTAGGCAAGCTTAATTCTATGAAAAGAGAACTCGGACCAAATTCATGCACGTCTTAACCAAGAAAAAATTTGGGATCATTGGCCATTATACGTATCAAAAGTGTTTGACTTTACGGCAAATTAACGAAAGTTTGCGAAACCTAGTAAATTCTATTTGGGATTATATCTAATCCCAAACTAGTAAAGCGGACCTGATCGGGTAAGATGTGTATGATCTATGATCCTATGATCTTTCCCAGTATCGTTATTTTTACCAAGAACACCTCCAAAAATTAGCCAATCAGATTTTGAGATCGGGTGTACCGTGAAATCTAACAATCGAAGCGTTAGGGGCCAATAATCATAGGAAAATCGATATTTTTGCAATGTAACAATATGTATTCGGGCAAAATTAAAAGTATAATTCGGGCCAGGCAATATAAATTTTGTCAACTTGAACCGTCAGTAAGCTTCGGTAATGTAGACAATCAACAAACATACTAGAAGTAGACCAGTATCGGCACCAAAAAATGCGGTCACGTGATAATGATAAAATTCTTAAAATTCGGTATGGTTAGGCCATACAAATTTGTATTTTTGGTTCTCATAACCGGCCGGGTCACCAAATTAGTGATTGAACCCGGGTTCATAGGAGGACATTCGTCTGATTGGTTAATTTTGGTAGATCTTCCCGTGATTTACTGTGATCGTTAACCAATCAAATTATCGTTTAATCAATTGCGTAATTTATATAGTTTAAAGTACTTTATTCAAATTTCAAGTTATTTTAGCTTTTAAAGTGTTAATCTTCACTGCACAAAAGAAAAGTAGAATAAAGCAATTACGTATTTAAATTGAAAATATGCCATGAATTACTGGACCATGCATTATTACTATTTGCTGAAAAGCATTAACTCAATAGAGAAGAGTATCTGAAAGCTTTCTTTCTAAAGCCCGATCTAACCATACTTTACCAAACTATCTTCAATTAGGCGATTCAATTTGCTCAAACTGTTATAATGGCATTGTTATAAACAGTTCATTTGAATTCAGACAGCATTCTGAAAAGATCAGGTCTGTCAAAGCTGAAATTGAAGCTGAAGATACTAACTCCATTTTATCTTTTTCTCAAGCAATAGAGATGATAACAGATATTTTATATAAGCGAGAAGTTAAAGAAAAAAGACCGACAATATATTCATTTGACGAATTCAAGACAACTATGGAACAGGAAGATAAGAGGTTAAAGTTGTTTTTTAAAAAATTGTATTTATCGTCTAACCTACTTTATAAAAGTAAAGAATCACAGATACGAATAAAGAAGCAACTTTTATTTGCCTATTATTTTCTTTGTGAAATTCGCAACAAGTTTGTGAATAATATAAAGAGTAATGTGGCAATGTATTTGGATTCTGTCAGTATATCTAATTCTTCAATAGATACTCTCACCGATTTAGGTATAACTACAACATTTCGTACAGTTACTCGGCATAAAACAGCTATATCTGAAGAACATGCTAGCACTGTTGATTCTGCACTTGCACAACATATAGAAAATGCGATGGTTTTAAATATTGACGACTATCACAGCATCCATACAAAGAGAGTACCAAATACGACTACCATGTCGGATGCAGCACATTTAGCAACAATTTTAATGAACCCAATCACAACACAACAGGCTATTTCGAAAATAAATATACATAATCCTCTTTTAGTTGATGCTAAATTAATTAAAACGAATATGGCGATTAAGTTTATGAAATTTTTTAGTTTTTCGTATAATTAACGTTGGGGGTTTTGGGTGGTGGATAATGACACGATATTAGAAGAACTAACTACACATAATTATGATACTAGGTTGAAGGAAAAACGAAGCACTCGTTTTATGAAAGACACCATTCTTGTAGATTTACAAGAAAATGATCTTCACAACATAGATGCATATATTAAAGCTATTAATACTGTTGCAAGTGTTTTGTCTATGCAATGATATATTGAGAGGGGAAATGTTATACCTGTTGTTGCCAATTGGCCTGGACAAATTTATCTCTGAACGGCAATTTCACGTTATTTGTCTTATCATGAATTATCAAATATTACTGATCACATATTATCTTTTCTTCCTATTATAGATCCTCTTCACATTTCACTAAACAGTTGTGAATTAGTATTCCTTCAATACCAGCCTTTTTTTTCCGCTATGTACAAGTATATATTCGAAGAATCTAAATCCCTTGCACAAAATCCCAAGCCATGGTATATCAATCTTCTCTTGGAGATTTCCCGTAGTGCCTGGCAAGAAATTTCTTTGACTGTTGAAGCAAAATTCGGATCTTTGTGTAAGGACGCTGAATATCTTGCACTTAAGGATCTTCTTGATAATGTGATTCCGCTTGTGCTAGATATTTATGCTGTATTCTTCTGTTCCAGTGATTTTAATGCATATTTCGAGTCTTGTTTTCGTGTTTGGACAGTATTTCTAAAATTTCAACGCAAAAATTATACAAAGGCGCCACTAATGTTTCTTTCTAATATATTTTATTAGGAGTTAAATAACCATCCAATTTTAGATATTATTAAGAATGAACTTCCAAAATTTTCGGATTCGACAGTCAAAATTTTTCATAGCTTTTTACGTAGAGGCACACAAAAAAACACAGAAGCACAGCAAATAATTAAATATGGGCATTATATCAATCAACTACATATGGATATTAACGGGTTTAGAGAAAATTTCGCGCAAACGTTTACTTGGGCAACGCAAGAGTATTCAGCACAAGATATAACAGCATTGATTAAGAAAAACGCTAGTTTTCTTTTACAATGGTTTTCAGATATTTATTCACGTTTTTTCATCAAAATTTACCAATATTACTTCCTCTACAGACAAGTTCATCTTCCAAAAGAAAACGTGATAGAAATATCGAAACTATTCCACTAACTGTGATGAAAATGCCAGAAGCACGACTATGCCATCTTCCTTTGGGTTTCAGTACTTCGTGTAAACCAGATTTGTCTCGTTATTGTGATGCATCTAACTGTTTTTCTTTTTCTATTAATATAGGCACTATCGAAGTTTTAGCTTGTGGTTATACGTATCATAAATTCTGTTATGACTATAATGGAACTAAATGCTTGCACTGCCTCTCATACTTACAAGATGGTGTAGATGAATATGTTCAGTCTGTACTAAAAAGGCTGCGAAGTTTCGACAATGAAAAGAAAAAAAATAAGGGTAAGAAGGTAATTGCTAAAGAATCAGAAAAGAATACTCCTTGTAATGACAATAGTGAAGTTGAACCCATAAATTATAGAGCACTTTCATTAGAAAAGGCATTACAAAAATTTCAATGTCAATAAGAATATAATTACACTATAATAACTTGTATTATAAATCTTTATTATAATTTTATTATAAAATAAACAAATTACAAAAAAAAATAAAATAAAATAAATAAATTACAAAAAAAAAAATAAATAAATATAAAAAATAAAAAAAAAGCAATGCACAGACTAAGTAAAAACTCCCTAAATGCATGGTATAGTCTGGTTCCAACTCATAAAAGCTATATATAATTTTACTCTATAAACGAATACACTCTCTAAGTGCACTATTTCA